AGCGATACTCAAAACCTATGTTCGTATTTGAGAACATGTAACTTACTTAACCTGCCCCAAATGCTTTTTGAAAACTGTAACTTTAAGAACATTTTCGCTCAAATGTAACACTGCAGAAATGGCTGCATGAATGTCACAGTTATAAAGAATATACTGAACAGTGAAAGAATGATATATATCGTTGTTAACGATACCTGGGATAAGTTGTATGTTTGTAGAATTATGTCCTGTGTTCCCTGAGGATCAGTTATCAACCATTTCTGAAGTTGAAATGCCAGAGCTGACATAGAAATTGCTCCTATTATAATTTCAGACTGAGAAGGTGTGCAGTTGTTTCAAACCTCGCAAGATCCATGCATGCAGATTCTTACACAACAGGGTAACACAGCTCTACCCTTGGTTGTTTCTTCAAGGCAAGCTTTTATAAGGTTATGAGAAGTGCACTTTCAAATTAAGTCAATTATACTGTAGCTTCTAGTTAATCTTTGAGACTAGAATAGTATATTTAAAAATCTGTCTCCTTGTTAAATAGATACCATGACAGTGTTTGCATAGTGTATCGTTAACCTCCCGTGGAAGGTTAAGCGGCTTCTTCTGCATCTAAATCCGTTGCTGTGGAAAATGACGGGCAGCGCTGCACCTACCTACCCATCAATAGGGAGAGTGAAGACTTGCACCTGTGGGATTAGGTAGAGCAGCAGGAAGTAAGGGCATTTGCAGCGTGTAATTAACGAGGAATTTTTTTTCTCTTTTTCTAAACGGCATTTTCATCCCACTAGGTTAACTAGTGATTAGCGCTTAAAAAAATTTGCCGAAGCCTGCACCCTTGCTTAAACTCATTCACTCACTGGTGTATTCTGTTACTTACACAGCCAATGTCGGAGGCACCCTCCTCGCCATACTGCATTTCCCTCCACAATTTATTGATTTCTTTATGCTCATGGGGGAATTTTGTAGATGTCTGTGTTCTTTTATTCTAACTTTGTTACCAAATTTTGTTCTTTTTTGAATCAAATTAGAATTTGGGAATTCCTATTTGGATCTGGATTTAGAGATTACTGCCCTGATAAGCAAGATGGAGAGGTTAGCGCTTAGTGATCCAAGGATATCAGAGGTTTGAATGGTGGAATGCAAAAAAGCATTTAATCTAGGTGGAGGTTAATGCATAGCATGCTCGCTACCTGATTTTTAATTGTTATTTTCTCATATTCATTAAGAAAACTATAATTACCAATATAGACGAGATTTCTAAATTTAGCTCTCTAGATCACAATTTTCTTGATAAAAACTCATCCATATCCACAATTTTTGAGGTTTAATAGACCTCTACTTTGATAGGGTTAGTGGACACCCACCTGCACTGACACATGTAGCAATTTGGTGTCTCTGCCTGGCAGTCACATGTGTCCCGTTCATTTACACACTAAAAAAAAAAAAAAAAAAAGTGGGTTCAGGGTTTTTTTTTAACTTTTTAACAAAACTTCATTTCCTAATAAGATAACATCTAATGATGAAATTAGATGCATAATGTTTAATAATGGAATTTTAAATGCAGTGACTTCCAAAGTATGTAAATTTTGCTGCCATAAAACAGAGTCTTTGCACAAAGGAGCACTGAACCAGTGATAATGTCTTCTATCCAAACACATTTGTACTGTAAGTAGAAAGTGTTTAAAAGGAAAATTACATCTTTTTCAGCAATTTATCAGAGATAATTACCCTTCATATACTAAAGGAAGGATAAAGAACTATAATTCTAATTGGTAAATGTCACCAACTGTTGCAGTTACTCTTACTTGTGTATATTCTTTTAATGATTATAGTCTCATGCCACAGCTACATGAAAATATACTCACTAGGTGTGAAATTCCCATATGTCACAGTTTCAAGAATAGGTAAACAGCTCAAAGATAAAGAAAGAAATAATGCTAATGAGAAATGTAAGAATTCTAGGTTTTGTTTTCCAGGCAAGTGGATCTTCATTTGCCAAAAGAGGAGAAAGTATAGTGAAAAGAAAAGACAGAAACACTAAATTTTGTTGAATTAAACTTTTAAATGAGCTTTACTTCACACTTTTAGCCAGAGCTGTTTATTTTCTTAGAAAATTGTAGAAATGTCTCAACCTACAGATTTCAGTATCATATGCCTTGGGTCTGCCAAAGGGAACAGCATTTAAGTTTCTTTTAGGCTTGGACTGTAAAGCGTTTGTTCATTTCAGATGTTAGAAGATAAACTCTTCCTGGACAGTGTTACATTTCGTCAAATTTTATCTTGAAAGGGATCAAAGAAACAGGAAAAATGACCTTAGAATCTATGGCAAGTGTTTAAAAATCACTATTCTCCAGTCCTTCTCGCTGTAACTTAGTTTCCAGTGAGTTTGATGGGTCAAGTGATTGACTAGATACAGCCTGTAAGCCTACTCTTCTTTCAAGAGGTAGAAATAAAAATGGGGTTGGGCAGGGTGAGAAATAGTGGAGAAAACAAACCTCTCATTTGTATATTCTTTAACTCTCAGGTTCGCTGAGCTGTGCCCTACTGCTGTGGCATTATATAGGTCATAGTATTGTGTTTCCAAGCACCTGACCAAGGCTCAGATGCTGAGCTAACTTTCTATATGCTCTCCATTATACATAGGCAAGTGTTTTGTTGCTGTTTTCATTTGTGGCACTATGTTTTCTGGACGTCTTTATTTGTGACGTTCTGACAAAGTTTGAGAAGCATAGAGAGAAGTACTTATCTTATGGGTTAGCTCTCTTCAAGTAGTAGTAGTATTAATCTTTGTACAAATTACTCTGCCTCTTCACTGGAAAAACTGATAGATAACGCACTCCCCTACCCCCACTGCAAAAGAAGAAGAAATAACCTAGGTTTCTCTCGGTTATCCATGTCATTGTATTTAAACTTTCAAACATTGCTCAAGAGAATTATGCAGAAAAATAGTGAAGGAATGAATTTGATAAGTTGCCTCCATTAGGTTTGAAACCTGTTCCCTACATTGTATATGGATGCTCTTGAAGGAAAGACTAGAAAAGACATTTAAGTAGTTCTTTCAAATTATAACTGATAACTAATTTTGTCATATTAGGGTTATGTTTGAATTGAATTTATGTAGCATATATTTCCCTTCAGGCTAAATGTAAGAGCAGTAAGAGCTTCTTGTAACTCATATTACCCAGAAATAACTTTGTTACTAAAAAATCAAGTTAAGTTTTATTAATGACATATGTTCATTGCCTATATGGTGCACTGGTGAAGTGATGGGCAGTTTTATTATTGTATATAAGATATGCCTCCACCAGCACCAAAAAAAAAAAAAGCGATAAGAAATTTTTATCCTTCATTTAAGGAGAGGGACTACCATGATACTCAGTAATGTCTTATTTTTCTTACAGTAGTAATAGTTAAATGACCTGTATTCTCTTCCACTTCATTTCCTTGCAAGATTTACTTTGCAAAATGAGTCTGATGATGGAAGTTATAAGTACATTCTATGAATATGAAATGATACAAGACCAACGGACTTACTTGGGCATCAGTTCCACCATTTTGTTATTATTAATGCCATATTCTTTTTTTATTATTATTTTAGAAACAGAACACGAGCAGGAGAGATGGGCAGAGAGAGAGAGAGAATATCTTAAGTAGGTCCCGTGCTCAGCACAGGGATGGGGGGAGGGGAGAGAGAAGGAGGGCTTGGCCCCACAACCTTGGGATCATGTTCTGAGTTGAAATCACAAGTCAGGCTCTCCACCGCCTAAGCCGCCCAAGTGACCCTTAATGCCAAATTCTAATCAAATGAATACCTCAGTACAGATTATGAAGCAACCCCAAGTGTAGATCATTCAAATGAGTATTTTTATTCACTAGTCTAGCTATCTACAACACAAAAAAGAAGTGAAGATAAGTCCAGAAGGAAAACTCCTTGGAACCATTCAGATTTTTGTCCCTTCCTAGTACTGACTTTGCAGAGTTTGTAACAAGGAGGAATTATATTAACTGTCCTATCTCCTCTAACATTGCAAGGCAACAGATGTTGGATAACTTCAGAAAGTTATCCGATTCACACTTTAGACTCTTCACAGGAGACTGGTTCATTGATATTGTATTTCTAAAATAAAATAAAATCTTTGAGATAGATAAAGATGAATGAGTAGAAGCAATAGATAATCTACAAAATTTTGGTTTACATTTCACTTCACAATCCATTAAATTTTTGGCCCAATATCTTCCTAATAATATTTTATTCAAATTAAATAAAATTTAGCTTGTATGCCTTAAGCACCTATAGTAGTTGAGGAAGGCAATCCAAGGAAAACTAACATTTTTGTTTTGGGTTTTTTTTGTTTTGTCTTGTTTTAATTTTTTTAATGTTTATTTACTTTTGAGAGAGAGAGACAGAGTGTGAGTGGGCAAGGGGCAGAGAGAGGGGGACACAGAATCCGAAGCAGGGTCCAGGCTCTGAACTGACAGCACAGAGCCTGACACAGGGCTCAAATTCACAAGCTGTGAGTTCATGACCTAAGCTGAAGTCGATGCTTCACCAACTGAAGCCACCCAGGTGCCCCACATTTTTGCTTTTAATATATATGCGTAAACCAACCAGAGATAGTGACAAGTAAATTGTATTGGCAATTAGGAAAGGATTATTACAAGTGGGGACTTTTTTAAAAAATTCATTCGTTTACACTGTGTGGCATATTAACAGTTCAAGATGGCCATTAAAGAAAAAAGGTATCTGGTACTTTACAGCCACATGTCTCTACTCATTTTCATAATGATGAATAACTGTGACCTCAAGTTACAGACATCAGTAATAAACTTTTATTTATTTTAATTATGGAATTTACTGAAGGTGCTCGTTGTTGATTTTGGTCTTGGGCATAATTTACTAATGTAATTTTTGAAATGATAATGTGAATTATTTTCTAAAGTTGTGTTTTAATAATGTTTTCACAATAGAGATCTGATCTTTTATTCCCCATGCTTTTCCTCCACCACAGAAACCAGGAATGGATCTCGCAGACACCTATATCATGTTTGTTCGGCAAAACCAGGATATTCTTCGAGAAAAGGTCAATGAGGAAATGTATATAGAAAAACTGTTTGATGTAAGTAACTGCCCTCACAAGGCTTCCTGGCATCCTCCACATGTGTGCAGGGAAAATTGCATTTCGATATGTTGGCAAAGCAGACACCTTTTCTGATCCCTTTTCTTCTATGCAGCTAATAACAGTGGATAGTTTTAGTTCTCTGACTGTTGACAGAAGCCTTAATTGGCTTCTTTTGTACATGACAAGTGTCACTGTTAGAATGGAGGTCTCAAAAAGCTTCTAAGGTTAATTTTAACTAGCAGGATGATAACCAGTTTACCACTGTGTATACAGCACCAGTCCGCTTTCTTGACTTTGCTGCACTCCATAAACAGGATCCTGCTGGCAAGGAGTGGGCCCCTCCTCTGAAAGTTTTGTGAGTTAACATAAGGCTCCTTAGTGAAACGAAGACCTAAGCTTCAGTAAAGCCAAATATCCACCACCACCGCTCTACCGTTATTGAACATTCCCCCCCGTGATTTACAGTACTGACAAATGCTAACGATATACCCCTACAGTTTTCTCAGCACAAAAGTCTTCATTTTCACCTGGCAATTTCTAGAAGTGGGGGGTTGTGGTTTTAGAGAGCGTGATCATTAAGTTTCATTTGTCTAGTATCTGTAAAGGAAACTAAGAGAGCAATCCATTTCAATAACAATGTTGTCATTCATTTGTAATTATTTAACAGTCAATTCAAAGGAAATGGTGCTTTTGCTTGTGTTGGAACTTCCCAGAATTCCCCACAAGGCTGATGCCGGAATGGAATATTTGCTTTGAACTGTATTTATTTACGCACATCTCCCCTGCATTTTGGAAATGCTTTTCTGGCAGTTTCATTTAATTATGCAAGTTGCCGCAAATGTTTTCATAACAGCAATTCACGGGCTTCGTGGTGACACTTCAGCTGTGGCAGTTCCAGAAGGTCCTGCTACGTCATCATCTCCTCCATAGTCTGTTGTGTCAGTGCTCACGGTTTGTCAGATCGGGTGGTCAAAATGAGCCTCCTCTTTCCTATTTTACGCTTCTAGCCTCTACCCAGGCTGTTTTACAATAAAAGTATCATCTGTTTTAATAAGCTAAGTGTTAATATGTGTGAAAAGAATGATTTCCTAAAAGCTTTGATGCCCTGCAGGGGTAGAAAAATTATCATCTATCCAGCTGGCTCTTTGACAAAATACTGAAACCATATTAGCAACTTCTGCTTCCATTTGGTATTGCTCTGAGTTTACAAGCATATGTTTTACGTCCAAATTCTCTTCTACTTTTTTTGCTTATGTGGTAATTTTTAAAAATGTTGAACAGAATAGGAAAATTGATGTTATTTCCTTTATGTTTATTCTTAGTATACCTGAAGCATGTTTTCTATGATGAGAAAAGGTAGAATCATCTGGAAATAGGCCATTGTAGGGGTGTGTGTGTGTGTGTGTGTGTGTGTGTGTGTGTGTGTGTGTTCTTAACATCTTCAACTTTCAGTCTTGGTGACCTATTTACTACAAAGTTTGCCATCAGTTCATAACAGAGGTAGAATTTTTTCGCTGTAAAGATATTCCCTACTTCACCTCTCTCGCATTCACCAAACTTTCTTAGAAGACTTTTTGTGTGACAGCAATAACCAACAGAGCTGAAGTGGGTGCATGGGGACCAAAATTAAAATTTGTCTAGTTTAGAGTCATCTGGCCGGCTCAGTCAGTAGAGCACACAACTCTTGATCTTAGGGTCATGGTTCAACCCCTACTTTGGGTATAGAGCTTTCTTGAAAAAATACATAATTATGTCTAGTTTGTTGCCCTGGTTATGTACACTTTCCTTTGAGACCTCATCATCTGACATGGCTGTAAATTTACTTCTGAAAGGAACTCTTGATGAGCGACCATTCTGTTTTAGTTGTGAAGGTTTTGGCATTTTGCATATCCTCAGTGGAACACTGGACTTGTTACTTGTGAAATAGTTATAATGTCCCTAAACATTCTAATATTTTTAGATTGCACATTTTTATTACTGTAATTAAAAATAAAAAGTAGACCCTAATTCTATTGATATGTCATCAAGAATAACATGTATGAGGGGGTACTAAGAGCCCCTAATTAGCCAAGACTGAATTTGCCTCAATTATAGTTAGTAAATGAGAGGTTATCAAGTATGTGTTGAAAGGTAAAACAGAATGTGTATCTTAAGTGACAGATCATTACTGAGAGACATTATATAATTATTGGAAATCTTCTTGGCTGAAACTTAAAATAATATTGTTAGGTGTCAAGAAACAGTTGAAAATAATGACCCTATAAATACTGTTGGCAATCTTAGTCTATTACAGATAAAAGATCGAAGAGAAAAATTTTATTCAGGCATAATGACAAACTTTTGCTATTTCAATTAAAGCAAGAAGTAGATGAAAGGAAAGGAAGGAAGAAAAGGAAGACTCATAACTTCAGATGCGGAGGAAAATGTGCGTGCATACAAACATGCACGTGCACCAACGTGAATCAATACTTAGTAGTTTAACCAACCCAAGTAAGGCTGTAGGGCATCCAGTTTCTGGTCATTCAGTATGAGAGCTTCACTCCTTAAGAAGGATATTCTTTTGACCCAAATGAGATTTAATTCCTTTTGGAAATCCCACAAATTACAATATGTTTATATAAAACCATTATTCTGAAGACACATTTTCATCCTGCCTCCAATGCCAACACTTTGAAAAATAACTCGTGTGTTTTACTAAATAATCTTTTTCTGCATGATGCTCCGCTCATGGAAAAGACTATTTGAAAGTTCTGTGAAACTTCCCCTGAGAGCAGTAATTACTTGTAGTATTTTTTGGCCTCAGAAACTTTTTGATTAAGCATCTTCATTGCTCCTGATATTTGTGGTGAAATACTTTAGGGTTCTATTTACATAATTGTACCAGTGCCTAAGACCAAATAATGACCATTAGCCTAGATTTGTGTCCATTGCTTTGGGATGCATCAGCAAAGAAGAATGGTACCTCCTATGGCCATCCATGTACATCTCACAAAGCCATAAGCCACGGTCCAGTTTCCCAAGCATTGTGTACAACCAGTATTATTATTTTGGCCTCCACGGAAAGGGCTTTTGCTTACTTCAGAGTCTTTTTTAACTTTTTTAACATTGATTTATTTTTGAGAGAAAGAGACCGTGCGCGAGCAAGAGAGGGGCAGAGGGGCAGAGAGAAACGGAGACAGGATTGGAAGCAGGCTCCAGGCTCTGAGCTGTCAGCACAGAGCCCTACGTGAGGCTCAAACTCACGAGCAGTGAGATCATGACCTGAACCGAAGTCAGACCCTAAACCAACTGAGCCACCCAGGTGCCCCTCCTTAACTTCAGGGTCTTAAAGACGGGATTGATTAAAATGTGTATTATCTTCAAGCCCTAAATATAGGGTGACCTTTAGACTTACATTAAATTTTAAAATATTAAAGCTAAATGTACCCTTACAAGATCAAAAAAGCTTAATATTAGAACTGAGAACCAAGACATTCTATTTCATTCCATAAGTAAACTTCGAAAACATTTTCTGTGTAACACAGAAATAAATTTTTAAAAGTATAAGTAAATAACGGCAAATCCATACTGTTACGAGAAGGAACCGAGTTTGTATTAAGGTATATCCCTAATCATCTCAAATTATCAAAATAATACTACTAACCCTCACTTTCGTCACTGCCATTCCGCGGCACCTCCCTGTACCAGGAAATGTGCTCCGTGCTTTACCTACATCATTTCTAACCTGCTGAGCTAGATGCCATCATCCCCATTATCCTTGTTTTCAGGTTAAAGAATCTCCCACTCATAGAAGATAAGTGACTTGCTTGTTGTTGAATCAGACATTGAACTTGTGTGTCTCCAGTTTCAAAGTCTATGCTATCTCCACCAGACTTACAAAATTGGACATGGTAACACAGTACTACGGCAGAGGGCTGGATCGGGAATCCACAAACCTGAGTTCCAGCCACGGTTCTGCCATTGACAGAGTGAGTGTCAAGAAGTTATGACCGCTGCCTAAGACTCAGTGTAGTTAGTACATATAAACTGAAGAAGTTGGTCTAGAACTCCAGGTGGTCTCTGAAATCTCTTCCAGATGTTAAACCAACGAAATTAAATTATCAATTCACCTTAGCAGTCATGATAAATATTACCGAGAATAGCTGTACCCTGACATTCCATGTATCTGCCACCAGGACTGTGAAGCCCAAATTGAGAAAAATAGTTGGAACTCATCCGTTTCATATTCATGCTCACTCTCTCTGAGTGACCAGAATATTTTAAACAGAGACTATCTCTTCCTCTCAAGTGGTCATCTTTATACATGCTGAGTTTAAAATCCACATGTTAAGTTTACATTTTCAACCTAGAAAAACTGTGTCTTATCTGGGTAAGAAAAGTCTTAAGGAAGTTCTTCTGTGGTAAGAGAAACCATGGATGCGCCAGATGGGTTTTCAGCATTCTACACAATCTCTCTTGCCCTAGTGTGTTTTTTCTTACATATTAAACACCATCGTCAGCAACTTTTTTAAAGTTTTTATCAAATCGAAACCATCTACAACTTGTCTAATCCCAATATAGAAGTATGGCGAAGATTTTCTAATTATTAACTTCCATTTTTGAATGTCTCCAGTAATATTTCTTCCTTCACGTTCAGGCTTCAGGACACACAGTATGAACCTCAGGTACCCATGTGTCAGGAGAGAGGCTGAGTAGTTCCCGCAAGGCTTGGGATCTCTGGTTTGGACAGCGGTGGTGTTTCCGGAGTCGAAACTGACCTCGGCAGCAATTGCCCAAGTGCAACTGGCCCTTTCCTGATGTCCAAGAATATTACAACCTGGAGGTAGTTCAGGGCTGACTGAAATCATTCTGTTGTCCAGGATGTACATTAAACCCACTTACCTCTCTAAATCTTTGCATATTTATTGGGCATTACCCATCCTGAGTCCCTTTGAAACAATTTCATTTCAGCTCTCGTGTTGCTGAGGACACATCAGGGTGCAGTATTTAATTGGTAA